GATTTTCGTGATTCTTGGTTTTGGTGGAAAAGGAAGTGTAGAAAGAGGACCTGAATAGTTGATAGAAATGTTCCTGGTTTAAATTACCCTAAAATTAAATTACTAGACCGGAAATACAAGTTTAACTTGAATGAAAATAACGAGAGGGTGCTAAGTCTTTTTTTTTGCTAGATGACGAAGTGAAGAAACCGTTCTAGGGTTCTAGACGAGGATGTAGAGCACAAAATCTTACTCTACACAATTATAAGTGCAAGCCCTCCCTCTTTTAAATTTTAAAATGAGTGGTAAGTAATTTTTTACACAATATACATTGGATAGCAATATTTACGGATTATTTTGTATAATCCAGATCTTCATATTTAATAGGCTCTGTAACAGTAGCTCAAAATTTGGTTCTATTTAATTTTGGAATTTACTTGAGTTCAATTTTTGTTTGAGATTCTAAGGGTCAAAAGAGTTTAGGCATTACATATCGTAGAAGGTATACCGGATGTAAAAATTTAGAGGACCGAACCTTACAGTTGATAGCACGATTGGTGCACTTGCAAGAATAAATCTGTAAACAGTTGCTAGGCTGTCTGCGTCATTTGAATTCTATGGGGCATCGTATCTTTTGGGATCCGGAAATCGGGGCAAAATTAAGTTGAAAGTAACAGAGTAAGTGCTATTGGGGCTCCTGTCACAAAAGATGCTGACAAAGATTAGGCAGCCATGAAATGAACGTCCACATTGTAAACATTACAAATTGAGCACATTCCCATGTTTGCGTTTTTTAAGGACATCCTAGTTTTTCTAGCACTCGGAAGGTACCTTCAATACGATTTGTCCTTAAGAGAAATGGTTAACTTAAGTAGTAGAGGTCATATGGGAAAGAACTATTTGCTAGCTATTTTTTCGGTCAACGAAAATTAAAAAATACGAGCTTTATCGTTAAAGAACGCCCACCATCTCTAGGTGGATTATTTAAACGTACTTGTTTCGGAACTTACACCATAAAAATGAGGATTATTGTGCAGTTACAAGGAAGAATAAACGTGGTCGTTATGTCATCGCCATAAAGGAGAGCCGATCAAGGGCGAATTAATTCAGCGCGCCAGTATATCTCTGTTACCATATTGGAATTGATCAGTATTTTAAGGATGGATTGTATGGCTGAGAGGAAAGTGAAGATTGACGTTGGAAATAAATATGTGAAGTTTCAAGACAAAACCAAGGTTTGCGCAGCCAAGACATAAATGTGTAATAAAGGATTTAAAGAAATTAAAGAAAAAAAGAATTGCGTTGTGGATATGAAGAAGTTAGTCAGAAAATTAGATAACTAGGAAATCATTACTACATAACTATTTTACCAAAGTGAAGTTAGCAAGGTAGATTGATCAAGTGCAATCATAGGAAGAACTGAAGATGCATATGGGGAGAAAATTCGGAAAAGTTTCCGGAAAAAACATTTGAAGCAGGTTAATAGAAAGAAGTAAGATTTTAAATTAAAAAAAGGGAAAAATGGCCATATTACCAGTTTTTTTTTTCATTTGAAAAGCAAAGATAATATGATAATATTGAAACAAAGTAAAGTGAGTAAAGAAAGGGTGTCCTTGCTGAGGTTCAAGTAACTCATTTTGATAAAAAAATATTTCTCTTGTCATTTTCAAACCACAAACCTCCATGTCATCTTCAGGATTTCTTACACTAATCATTTGTGGTCTTTTTATATATCTTTGTTTTTAATTTCTTGGAAATTAACTCTATATTTGTTATAGATTGCAACGAGAGCATTGTGGCTTAGATTTATTGTCAAATTTCTCGCATAAATACGTAAATTAGAATCTTTATTTTCAAACTTTGAAAATATCAAGGTTTTAAAGTGTCTTCCCAAGCAGATTGAATTTAACTGATTGATTGAGGTCAACGAAATATGCGTGGTTTCTTACTAGTCATTTCCCTTGGACCTTTGTTCTTTAATTACAAAGTAGCGGTAATCGGTTGCAAATTTATCCTTCTTGATTGGAGATACTGTATTACATTAGTGAACTCATCATGAGATAAAGTTAACGTGGAAGTTTTTGAGTAAGCTTGTTTTGGGAAAGAGATGGGATACCATTAAAATCATCTAGGATTGATGGGAAGAAAGAGACTGGTCATTAAAAAATTAGGCGGCGCCATTTTGAAAGATAACCCGCGGGTATGGGAAACAATTCAGTAGTTAAAGCTTTGAAACAAAAATTGAATCTCTCAAGCCAAAAAAGATTGCAAGCCATTTTATTAACAAAATCGGCTCGCTCTGTAACTACCAATCGGAAATGGTGTTTTAGTCGACAACCTTGTCGTAGTAACAGGGCGAGGCGAGGCGGCGCAGCCGCCGAAGCCGAAGCTATGACTCCTATTATATTAAAAGGGCCCACTAAGTGCTCTGACTCAGTCAGAGGCACCAGTTGCGGAGTCAAAAAGTTCAGGTGAGGCTGCAAGTAGGCTTGGTGAGGCTATGACCAAAATCCAGCAGAACGTGAGGCGAGATAAAGGGACCACGCATACAGTCTATTACAATCAAGGTTCCACAACTGACAGACTGGCACGCCTATGAGAAGTTTGAAGTTCAGACAATAGGTAGCCTTAAATGATCCTACTTAATGCGTATGAGAAGTGCTCCCCCACATAAACTAAAGGGTTAACGAGGAACGTTCCCTGGTGGAATGAGGATCTAGTAAAACATCGGGTTAAAGTCAGAAGGATATTCAACGAAGCTGAACGAAAGAGGCGCGAAGAAACGTGGGAAAAATATAGAAGGACCCAAGCCGAGTACAATTCTGTCATGAGAGGATCCCAAAAAAGAATTCGGCGCAAATTTTGTGAAGGAATCGGTTCGACATCAGAAGCATCGTGCCGAAAGAAACTTCTACAAGGAGAACAATGGCATTCGGAATCTTTAGAAACTCGATGGGAAATATACAGTATGGGGAGGTCGATAAAGTTAGCACCCCCACTTTGCCTAAATGAACTAAAAATATGCCTATAATTTAGGACTAATTAAAGACTAATTTGTACCCACAAAATTAGAATTTGTACTCGCTTAGTTCCGCTGGAAAACCAATTTTTAGAGTGGAGGTGCTAACTTGAAATCAAGCTAGCACCCCCACCTTTCCCGATTGAAATTTTATTAGTTACATCAAAAACTTTGTACCAAAGTTCGATTTTCATTGTTTAAACAATTTATACATTGTTTAAACAATTTGTTACTGAAGAACGGCATTTCTCAGAATTAATAAAATCAAATGGAACGTATAAATTAAAGACTAATTTGTACCCAAGTTAGAGTTTCATTGTTTAAACAATTTATTACTAAAAAACGGCATTTCTCAGAATTAATAAAAACAAATGGAACGTATAAATTAAAGACTAATTTGTACCCAAGTTAGGGTTTCATTGTTTAAACAATTTATTACTAAAAAACGGCATTTCTCAGAATTAATAAAAACAAATGGAACGTATAAATTAAAGACTAATTTGTACCCAAGTTAGATTTTCATTGTTTAAACGATTTATACATTGTTTAAACAATTTGTTACTCAAAAACGGCGTTTCTTAGAATTAATAAAACAAATGGAACGTATAAATTAAAGATTAATTTTTTTATTTTAATTTAAAACACATTTCACAAATAATTTCAACACTAACAATCTTCAGAGTAAATAAAAAATCTCTTCTAGCTTGAAAGAGTTGTTGAAAGTTAATACAACAGTGAAAGTACTATTAGACGTATGTTGTAAAGAACTAAGACAAATGGGTGTATTATTGATTGAGTTAAAAAAGTACGTATGTTATTATTTTGAAAAATATATAAGAAAAGTATAACAAACAATCAAGTTTCGGTTTGAAAAACAGACAATAAATAAATTAAAAGGTACCTCCAAAATTACGAGACCAAGTAAAAAATATACGTGGAAAACTACTCCCTGACTAATTAAAGTTTTTGTGCAACATAAACAAAAGTACATTAAGCGACCTTATGAGATGTCAACTACTCTGAAAGTGACAGATTTCATTATAAACTACTAGTTACCCATTATTAACTGCTTTTAAACAGCTACTGTACAAGTAAAAATAATAACGTTGTTCTATGCTCCAAACCATGTCAATTCCGTCGAAAAGACCTTGTGTTCTTTTTCTTTCGGCATAGATTTAACGCCTTTTACACGCTGAAAATAGTCTAGATTGGCAATTACATCCCGAAACAACTTTAATATTAGATATTTAGTGATCTAAAAAAATCTCATTTACTATGTTGCAATTGTGAAGAGGTTGGCGAGATAATAGACGAGTGTCGGAAAAATTTTGTTATCGAAGTAAAATGTAGTTAACTTCAGTTAGTTAGCAATTGGGCTCTTTCTGCTTTAAAGTTAACACAAGAAATGCTCTTTATTATCATTCGCACGAATACGAAGACTTTAATGTTTGTAATATCTATGGAGATTGTCTTGTATAATCTAATGCATAACCAATTTCGAACACGCTACAATGTTAGCGGTAGTTGATCTCTAGTCAAATTAGGAAGTTGAGTAGATTGTTAATATAAGTAAACATGTAGAAGGCGAACAAAGCTAGCCTTTAAAGATTTACTTGTCCCTCGGGAGTCTGTGTTAACTGATACTAAATATAGGAGGAAGGTTTACTAGGTGTACAATTGTTACCTAAAATTCAATTGAATAAGTTTACCACCAATTTCCGGCCATGGTGTAAATCCAATTTCGAGTGACAAATATTTGAGCATAGAATTTCCCAAGCGTCGGTTACAGGTACCCACGATATTTGTATGTACCGAAATAAGGATGAATAAAAGACGCATTCTCCGAATGGGTTTTTTTAAATCTAGAAGTACGAGAAATGCGTCATAACGTCAGTGGGGGGAAATCCAGTAAACAGAAATGAAGTGGATGTTAGTACACAAAAAATTAGGTTACTTAGACGCAACAAATCCGTAAGGGAAAACTGTTAAACGTGCAACTTACAGGATATTCGTCGTATCTAACTCCCAACTGGTAGTCGGGATAATCGTCGGAATCCCTCTCAGGAGCGGCGCTTCTACGTACAATTTCAAATGCATCGATTCCTTTCGCGACCAAAATGCATACTAAACACACACCGAACCAGGCGGCAACCTGTTTGCTTTCCATTGTGAGAATTTACTACGGAGCTTCTACTTTTACAAGAGAAAATCAAAAACTCATTCCTTGTAATCGAGCAACGAAAACTAAAAATCGGACTAATTTGTCTACGAATGCTTCTTGGCGTAGTTTATATGCTATCAATGAGTTATCAAGGGAGTAGGATGGCGCAATTGTAAACTGTTCTCTTTCGTTGGAGAAGCACGAGTTTATATACGCTCTTCTGACTGCGATCAACGCAATCGCATACCGGATAAATAACAAACCTTTCTGCACATACGTTTTTTTTAATCGTCGACGGTTGATTTATCTTAGACGAAATAGACAATTTTAATTATTGGCCGCGTTTTGCCTCTTTGTTAAAGTTGGAGAAATTCAAGAGTGCGAGAGAGGAACAGAACAAAAGGCGTAATTACATGGAATTAAAAAAATTCCGTGCTCAAAAGGTAATTTCAAAAAACGACCTAAATCGCAATGAATTGGATCTGTAATCTTTTAAATCATAGCAATTAGTGTAGATTTACATTACCATTAACCTGGCCCATTTAATTTGAGGGTAAACTTTCGACTGTATTGTGAAGCACATGCGAGTGTTGTGTTGCTCTATTTAAGAGTGATTAGGATTTGTAAAAGATTTATCTAACAATTTGCTTTATTTGAGGCAGCAATTTGTCTAAATCTTGTGAGACACGTATAACACATTCCAACCGGATTTCGTTACCAGTCTTATAAAAGGGCGCTACCTTCGTAAATGAAACTTTGTACCAAAAACAACTTCTGATATTCAGTTTTTGTACCACAATGTTGATCCAGGTCTGCTTCCTGTTAATTCAACGTTTTATGACAAGTAATGATGCAGGCAGTTTTTTTACTGCTGAATTGATAGATATGATCTATTTGGTGGAGTTAACACGCGAATAAGTCATACATATTAAATTCCACCTGGTGGTAAAACTTCCGTTTGAGCACATGCAATAACGATGGACTACCCTGTATATGTTCGTTTCAATTATTTTTAACGTTAAAAGTTGGTTGTAATTTGAGATTGGATTGGATACAAGATTCGAGCATATTAGTTGAATTCGTCAATTTTATTTTGTATCAGAACTATTAGTTGCTAATTCTGTTTAAATAATGACCATGTATTGTATTTATTTGATTTGAATCAAATTTCAACTTTTAGTTTCAGGGACAAGTCCATTTTTGATGATATTTTCCTTGATTTTGGGATTTTAATGTGGCACCTAAATATTTATGTTGGTTAAACAATAGCCATACAATTTGTAGAGGAATAATTTTTTTAATAGTATTTATGAGGCAAGAATTCATACGTACAATCCTATGTACCTTTTTAAATGGAATGGACCATATCAAAGCAGTAGAGATTTTAGGTCACTTTAATAGCATCCATATCACTCAAAATCTGGAATTTAGTACTTATTTTATTTTAATCTCCGTTTTAAACATGAGAACACTTGCTAAAGGTACCATGAATGAAAATTTATTTAAAAAAAAAACAAAAAAAAGGTAAAAAGACACTATCCGTGATGTCAATTGTCCATGCACTCATGTTCACAAGTAGACGGATGTTGCTAAACGCTGGTATCGGTCTATCAGCAAAACTGTCACCTGACATTTCTTAAACCTATTTAACCAGTTTTATTGTACCAATTCACAATCAAGGTTTTTTTCATTTGGAAACCTTTTAGCATGTACAAATAATATTGCAATAGGAATATAAAAATCTAAATAAAATTTTAACAATTATTATTTGTTAATAGCTGCAAGTTCTCTAACCTTCGATGTAGTCCATTTAAAGGACACATAACGAAATACGTATGTATTGTCTTAAAAGAATCTCAAGTAAATTATAATCATATTTGAACGTAAAACAAATAGATTCTTGAGAGTTTCCGTAAAATTAAAGAGATAAGAACTGTAAAGTAACGAAAAAAGCAAAAAATGTTGATAAATATCGTGAAAAAAATTATTTATTTATTATATGGCTATTATTTAAATAATATACTGAAATTGTGAAGATCCATGACTCTCAATTAAGAAGCTTCGGAGAAATAACACCAAAATCTACCCATTTATTATTATAACCACTTTTATGGGCAGATTTTGGTGTTATTTCTCCGAAGCTAAATAATATACGGTGGTGCATTAGAAACGATACATAGCTATTTCTGTAAATTAAAATAATTTAAAAAAAACACTTTGGTACGTCAAATTGATCATGGAAGGAAACAGTGTCTAAAATAAAACTTGCTCACTAATGTCTTTGTCTCGCATCGCTGACAGTGCAACCCTTAAAATGTTAAATGATGCATCGTTGGTATGGTCGCCCATCTCTGAATTCGGATATGTAATTTTTTTGGTTTAGTTGTATCATTTCCAGCGCATTCGACGTTGCAGATACAAGTTTTCTCTTTTTTATACCATCTTGCAACTGCATAATTTTGACGCACGATCGCATTAGTTTCTATTACATAGTGATCGGCCCGACATCCTTCCAATGACATAAACAACAGCGCGCCCTCAACTTACTTTTAAAATATTTCGAAGATATCTAATCTAAAAAATTATAGTCTCACCAAATTCAGATAAGGAAAGCCTTTCCTATGATGTCCTTATCTTCCTTGTTGCGCAATTACCAATGCTAAGGGTTTTGCTTTAGTACTAGGTATGCCATACAAAAATTAAAAAGGAAGTATATAGGTACTTAATAATTACAAACATTTAAAAGAAAAAATCAGCAATATCGGCCTGTTCCTATACGTTTCAAGAATTTTAAAAGCTTTACTGTTTTGATTATTAACAATCTCTTAAAAAATTGCTAGAATTTTTCCATGTATCTCTTCAAACTATAAAATAAATAAGAGTAAGAAGATCAAAAAGAAACTTTCAAGTTCATTCACTACCATAGTTGTAGCAAAGATAACGCAAAAAAATAAGCAGTTAGTGTAATTTTACTCAGTCACCAATAATCAACATTTAGCCATATGTGGTCAAAGAAACGTAAAACTGGTTCTAAGAAAACTGGAAACTTACCTTTTCTGAACACCACCAAGGCAATACCACCAGAAATAAATTTTTTTTTAATTAAAAAATAAGTATACACAAAATCAAAACCCGTGCTCAGATAAATTTTAAGATACCACTCTGTCAAACGTTCAAGAATGAAGATACTATACAGGCGTTAAAGTTCTAATTAGTTGTGGTCATACGTACTTAAACCTGATTTTTCGGACCTAATTACTTTTATCTTGTAATAAACCCTATTCGTCTTCCAGAAATAATAGAAAGGATGTCATTACGATGTTTCTCTTATTGTTTCTTTATGAAGTGCAATTTGTGTTATCGGGGTCCTTTCAAATTTACCTTTAATTATAATATTATCTTAATTACCTATCCAAATTTAGTGTCATCTATGAAATGCATTGTTCTATTGTCATTTATACATACTCGTTTTGTCTAAAATAAATTTAATTCATTTCCTTTGTCACCCTTTTCAACTAAAGAAATAAAGAACAATTTTTTATGTGTCTTCATTAAGAAATCTTTATGTAAGGGAGCGTTAAAATTACTTCCTTTTTCTATTTTCAACTTGATCTTATAATGTAAATATTTTTAACTTTAGACTTATCGCTTTGTTTGTGTACGGTATTATAATGTTGATTCTGTTTTAATATTAAAAGCGTCTCAAAAGTAGCGAATATTACACATAATATTGTAGATATACTATAACTAGGTATAACTATTTGGTATTTAAAATTACTCCACAAAAGACGTTTCAGTTACCTATTCTTATTTTCTCAAAACGAAAGCGCAGTAGATAAAAATTATGTGTTCTTAAATTACAGGATTTAACTATATCAGACTCTTCATACAACTTAAAAAAAAACCAGCGTGATTATATTTAAGAAATGGAAATACTTAAGAATCGCGATGTGTTGAAAATGAAAGACCAAATAACTATTATTTGAAACATTTTTCCATGAAGTAGATGTTTACCAAGATGTGCACTACTACATACATTCTGTAAAGGCAATCGTCTAGTAGCCTCTTAAAAATATTTAATTTTAATAAACCAAAGATTTACAGAATTTTTCGAGTGCGGATTGTCCGGGTGCGAATTATCCAAGAGCGAAATGTCCAGGGTGCTAAATATCCTGGGAGCGAAATGTCCGGGTGCGAATTATCCGGGAGCGAATTTTTCGAGTGCAAATTGTCCGCACACGAAAAGTTTATCTCCGGTGGTAGATGAGAAGTTTTGTTATCGCCGTGTGGGCTAACTAGTTCCAAGATAGGCACGTGTTTACACAGGTGCATATTATTGAAAAACGACGCATTAATTTGTTATGGAAGTGGAGGTGGAAAAAAACAAAATTGTTTTAAATAGAATAGACGGACGTTAAAAGAGTCTTTTGCTTTTGAATTTCTAGCGTAATACAGTCACTCTTGCTAATAGTAAATTTTGGACGTAATCAAGTTAGTTTTTATAAGACTATAACAGATTTTTATTACGTCGTTTGAACGAAGTAAAGTCTAATTAAATAAGTGAAGAACCGATTCCTGGAGGGATCAAGAATTGTAACATGAACGGTGCATACACGGAGTCGTCAATTTTAAACAATTTCCCAACAATTGAGGGGGGTGCTACAACAGTTCCGTGATTATTTTCACGAGAATCTTTAAACGCGTTGGGAATGGACTACGTCCAAATACGAAAATCTGAGATTCTTTATGACAAATCAAGTACCTAATCAATTGCACTTAGCCTCGTTTCTGATGTCTCCTGGGGATTACATTTCCTTATCGGTCATCGTCACTTAGTCGATTGTTTGTGAATATGACAGATCACTCGCCGCCACTAAGTTCAATGTCCATCCGAACAAAGGCGGCCTAAATCGTCCCGTTTTTACTCCTCAAATTTGTACAAACATTGCAGGAGTGTCAGTAGAATCGCCCTCGAAAATATATACAACGAATTGGTTTGAAAAGGATTACAATACAACATCCAATCCGCTAAGCCGCATAAGCCTTCTTATTGATGAATAGGTATGTGTTGGAGTAAAGCTCATCGATGTTACATAACAGTGTTACAAATATGGGGGGATTTGGATTAGCATATCGAAATTATACACAAAGTTAATTCTGACACTAG